CTACTACTACTACTACTACTACTACTATTATTACTACTACTACTACACTACTACTACGATATTCCCACTCTGTTTCTTTCTCCTTCTTTCTCTTCTCCTTCACCGCGGTGATCGTCAACTACTTGGTGGCCCCCTCCCCCCCTCGCTATACTTCTGATCCCCACCGGATCCTGAGATCCTCCACCTTGCTCCACACACAACGCGACACTTGACTACACAACTTTTCTCTCTTTCTCTCCAACTTTGACTCCGCGTTTGCTTTTCACTTCGATCCAACACTGCCGCGACGTCTCTCCCACTCGACACTTACACAGTGATACGCACGATCACCAGCTGGCGAACGTATTGCAAGAGCACGTTCACGCGGCATAAACGCGTACCGGCAGTTTAACGCGCCGACGACGCGTGGATGTCCCATCGCGCGTTTCACCACCGATTGTCATTGGTTTCCTGAAGAAATCCCTGATGAATCGATGACAAACGACCGCCGAGATTTCAAAGTTCAACGTTTTCACGCAGCCAGGTAGTCGAATTAGAAAACTGATCCACGTCGAACGACAACAATGTTCGATTGACTATGGCCAATCGAATGTCGAGTCGGTTGGTAGGCCGTTGTTGCACGCGAGTACGGCAACGTGCCGACGATCACTAACAATATACAAGTTGACAACGGCGAGCGACGGATACGATGACGACGACAACGACAACGACAACGGCAACGGCAACGGCAACGGCAACGGCAACGACGACTTCGGCCGTGGCATCGCGAAAGTGTGTTTTGCGCAGTTCTTTCAAGGGAACTCGCCTCCTCGCGCTTACTTGTCGCCCTCCTGGCGCGACCGCCGATCAAAGGGGCGGGTAGGGGCGGCTGTAGGTGGTGGATCGCGAGCATAGAGGTTGCGGGGGAGGACAGTTGGTGGAACGGGTGGGGACAGTCGAAGGGGACTATATGTGGTTCGCAGGGTGGGTAAAAAGGTGCACTGATATTTTTCGCCGGCCGGCAGATCGCCGATATATACAACACACCTACCTACTAGTACGAGAGAGTACCTGCCAGCGAAGAATATTTTTGCCGTTTCGTGGTGAAACTCACACGCTCTCGCTTACCACCCCTCTCGCTTAAACGGACACCTCTCTGTGCTGCGATGTAGAGATGCAGAAGGAGAAAGAGAGAAAGTGGTAACTGGATAAATCGTCCCCTTCCACACTTCTTTCGTCTCCCCTCTGATACACCGTGGTGGGTGCGGAGCTCGGCTTTTTTCCCCTCCGTGGGCGCGGACTAACCTTGCCCCGCCCCTCTGCCACCTTTCTCTACCCCCTCTTCTATATTCGAAGCTACTCGTACTACCACCAAATCGTGCCACTGCCTTTCTCATCACCCCGCAGTGTGCGCAGCACGTTGAGCTACTACTTCGCGCTCTTGCTCGCCACGGCGACGTCGACGGAGGAACACATTGTGGAACAAAGAGGCTCCCGCAAGCCGGAGCGAGATAGAAACATACGGCGAGGGCACACCGAGACGTGAAACATTAGTGTACCGTTTGTTAACACCGCGGTCTACACATAGCCGCGCGCAACTCTCACTCTCCTCTCCTCACGGTTTCTCGTCGTACCCTTCTCTCCCCGGTGACTTCAAGAGGCCGCTATACTATGCGTATACGCTTTGTAAGCTCACGTGCAAGTGTATGAGTCAATATACGCGAGTGTCATTCCAGTGTGTGTTCTCTCTCTCTCGTAGAAGGTATATACTACTCCTGCTCTCCTGAAGAATTCCCTCTCTTTGTTTTACTTGCCAAAGTCTTCCATCCTCGTCTCCCCCCACCCTTTGACTCCACCTTAAAACCCCCTTCCTCGATCGGTCTCTATCCCTACATCGGTGACTTTCCGAGAATGCGACACCGAATTTGTCGACCGTACAGAACGTCGACGTTCCGCTACGACTACGCCCAGGCTAAGCCGCTGACCGATGTCGCCGCACATCGATTTTGGATTTCTCGTTCTTTCTGTGCGTGTGTTTTACCGAGCATCAACTCTGTGCGTCTTCGGAATCGGGAATTAAGGAGCCAATAGGGAGTAACAGTGGCCTTGTATCGTGCTGCTCTCGCCATAGCCTTTATACCAGCTTACCGATAAATCGAGTTACCGATGTAGTCGCCGCCCGGTGTCAACTCTGAATTCTCGGTAAAATGCCGTTTTCAACACGTCCGATGTTTACCGCTGCGTTTCACCAACTAGTTGCCTAACAAACGCTGAATTATTCATCGAGTGGCCGTCGGATTTCTTTCATGGGAGATCACGTCTTTGGAAAAATTTTGCCCCTTCTCGTTCCTGTATTGTTCGTTCAACAATTGTTTCCCATCTCTTGTCGCGTGTGTCACAACTCGTTAGGGGGATATCGATTTTAACCTGTCGGTTTTAATCGTAATTGGGCAATTTGTAACGAGTCGATCTACAAACGGTGGTATATAACGTGGAGGGGGGCTGAGGGTGGGGGGGGGGTTGTTTTATTATGACTGCGCCGTATATAGGTGTCTCTCTGGCGCTTTGAATTACTAATGCCGTGGATCAACCAACACGTTTAGCTGTAGTGAGATGAGACAGTTAACTATAGCGTGAGACAAGGCATTAACATGTTAATGCGTCCTACTCTATAGTCTATAGTCTACTACAGTACGTACGACATGCGATTCATGTTAAATGCATTGGCTCTACGCATTGTTACGCTTCAACTAACGATTCTCACTTTGCCGCGAATTTGAATGTAAATGAAAGGAAGATGATACAGTTTAACGTTACACGTATGTACGTACACCACCTTACGCGGAACAACCTATTACGTGGCACTTTGACGAGTTGTGTGTTTACATTTTTAACGCTTGTACCAGCGTTAATAAATTGTGGAAGAAATACATAATTGAAGTGTTACACGTCGTATTTCTTCGCACGCCAACACCGCATATTTATACATGAATCATTCATATTTATTAATATACTTCGATATACATTTCCACGATTAAATCCCTCTAACATCTTATTGAATAGATTACGCGCAGTTGAAAATAGAAACACGACGTGCTAATCAGATTTTGTAAAAGCACGCTGTAACGATTGTAACGATGCATCTAAACACATGATATACCATATTTTTCATAACCGGATTTCCCTAGAACAGGAAGACAACAGGTTTAGGATCACGTACGGTAAGCGTTACACGCCATTACAATGATTCTCACATTGAAGTATGCAAGTATTCAGACATACAATAATTACTATGGGTAGCAAGCGTGA